GTAAAGGAAAAAGAAGGGGGTACAGTATATTATATCTATGGTTCCATTACAGTTGGTAATTTTGTAAGCCTATGGTAACGTTGTAGTGGGTCATATATTTGGCTGTAAAAGTGAGGATTATGCTGTACCAGGGTAGCATCAAGAAATAGCCTTATTAAAAGATGCATTAAATAAAGATACTTCAGTATATGACACTTTATAAAATACTAATGCAACAGTAATATTCATGTTGTGATGGTTTATTATAGCTTTATAGAAAATCTAATTTTTGTGTATATCAAGAAATATTTATTTGGGAAGGTGACTTTTGTATCTCTTCATAGTAAGTGTCCTTCCTTTAAATTTGTAGGATAATTCTTGGTTTTGTTTTTTTTTCTCTATAAAAATATTTTTATATATTTATAAAAATTTTTATTTTATTTTCTAATAATTACTGTGTTACACTTGAAAGTAAGAGATATTTGTTCAACATAAGAGTTCCATGCTGTAGCACCTGCTTTCCTATAGTAGTGCAATGAAGTATTTGTACTGTGCTGCCATACGAAAATTAGAATAACTGAGGCAGCTCTTTCTGCTCTGTAGGAATGGAGGCTGAAACCCAAACTATCCAGCTTTTCCTGAGTCTTGTAAGCAGAAGATCTAAAAAGAGACTACAGTTTTCAGTAACAGACTGAGCAAAATATTTGAAGCTACTGTTGGTGTACCTCCCTCACGCAGGTGCTCTTGCACATTACTGCCTAGATTTAGGGAAGAACAAAAGCAACTTACAAAAACATTAGGCAGATTTCACACCTTCTGCTTGAAAAGGCTTTCCGTCGGGGATGTCCATAATAGCCTCATTGAGAGGGGAGATAATTCTATTTAACTGGACAGGGGAAAAGAAAATCTACCCCATAAATACGTAGGCAGGGGGTATTCATCTTGTGCGTGTCCGGGACCGTGGTGCCAAGTTTGTGGGTACTTTCATGCTGCTCTTTGTGGAACTCTGCACTGAGACTCTCCTGAGCGTCCACTGATAAATCCAGCTGATTTATCGTTTTGACTGTTTCCGTTCTCTACAGACCTATCATCAAGGAGAACATACAACAAAAATAAAACTCCTCCTCTGCAGATAAATTATGTTTGTTTGGGAAAGATATTTTATGGTAAAGGCTTTTACTTAGGAGGAAGAAACCCACTAGCTTTAGAGGTCTGTTCACTTTGGCAGAAGCCTCCTGAAATCAATAGATTCCGTTTCTTTTACGTATGGAATGCTGAATAAGACTCTTTAACGATGGAAGTTTATCCTCATAGACTTTACCCTGATGACATCTTCACTTAATTTTCCTGATAAAACCTTTATTGTGAATTCAGTAACCATTGTCCTTTTTAACAAGTTTGCTAGCCTGCAAATAATTTCAGAGGCAGGATCTGTTTATGGGAATACATTAGCAAAATACGATCCAGCCACAATTTATCTTTCTTGTGTTAACATTCTCTGAGTAGGAGGGAGTCTGTGATCAAGGTTTACAACTGCCAATTCTGTGGTATTGGTGTGTCCCCGTCCCCCTCTCAAATAGAGTTTAGATTTTGAAGGGTCTAAACCACAGTGGAAGTCTTAGATCCAGCAGCCCATAAGACGTATAACAAAGCATAAGTACCAAAGCAGGTAGTTTCATGAGAGCATGGGCACTCCAGTTGATTTACTATTCAGTTGCTGAGCTGCTCCCTGTTGGGTCCTCTTATCCATAAGGCATAGGTATAGCAGCAGTGTAAAGTTTTTCCTTAATTAATCTCTTGTGCTAAGGGTGTAAAAGAAAAATCTCATTGTTGGAAATGAATGAATTTTGATTAAATGTGCTAAAAGGCTTCAGCTAGAGGCAGAACTATTAGAGAAAACGGTTCAAATAAGTTGTTTGGTAAAATTGCTAGGAATTGAAACTGGGTTCCTATTATTAGAGATATTGAGCATTCCTAAAATTCAGAGTAGTGCTCTTAGTACTGTGAGATCTTTTTCTATCAGTTAAGGAACGTTGCCTTTAGATGAACATTTCGAATTTTGTAACTATGTTCCGAGATTTGTAGTTTTGATGTTCCTACTTTCTGCAAGCCTACAGTGCAGGAATTAAAGGGTTTGTAGAAGAACCATCTGGGGAACAGCGGTATAATCCTGGCACTCTTCCTTGAGGTTTTCTTTTCTTGCATAAAAATATAAGAATGAACCACCTCCCTCAAATTCGCCAAAGCCTGAGCAACAAAGACAAGCACAGTTGGTCTGTATTGCAGAGGCCTTTTCAGCTTTTGCAAAAATTGAAAAGGAGAGTTGAATTCTTTCCTTCTGCAGCCATTGCCCAGCTTCTTCCTCAACTTCATCCTCCCTCCGACATCCGAATAACATCCTAGTGCCTGGATGCCTCCTCATGAACTGGGCAGTACAGAGTCACTTCTCACACAAACCTGTAGTACAGCAATTCCTCAGGGTGTCCCTGTACAGATACTATTTTTTTTTTTTAAGTTTCTAAGATGTGACATGTGAAGGATAGGGCAATTTCAAAATGCTTGACAAGTAAGCGCTAGCATGTTTGGATATGCATATAGGAGGTGCGTTTTAATGCGGGTGTGTAGGAAGAAATAGAAAGAGAGAGTTTTGACCCGTGGCAGGCATCCCAGTCTTTCTCTCCTAAATGTGAGCAGCATGCTTAGGTGTGCCTGTAGATGTCAAGACCTGGCTGCCGCACTGACATAACACAGTTTTTGCACTAATGAGAAAATCTTTCACATGACCAGCCCTGTCTCATAAGCCTTTCTCTATTAGTAGTCTTAAATGAGAACAGAAGAAAACAGCGCCTTACCAAAGAGACCAAGGAATAGGATTTATTGTAAGAAACACACATTTCGCATTAGCAAGTTGGTAGTATCGCTTATGGTGGCAAGGAAAGTGTGTGAGAGCTCTAACGGAAGCTTTTGTGCCCATCTATCCCTATCAGATCTAACAGCTTTGAATGGACACTCATGATTGTTATAGACAATAAACATTTTCTTTTTTTATGCCCTTTATGACTTCTTTTATTGTAAGAGCCCTGTGTAGTTCTTTCCCAGTTCAATGTGGCATATATTGTGGATAAACCATTCACTTTTTTACCAATGTTTTCCTTTTTTTGCCCTTTATATCTGCTCTTCCACAAATTCTAGTTCTTTTGATGTCATGCGGAAACTTATTACTACTTCACAAAAATCTCTGCTTACTCTCTACTTCAAACCAGAAAAAATGTAGATGAAGAATTTAACTTCCACCTTCTCTGAGAATGCTGAGACTAGAAATGAGCAAACGTTCTTTCAAGAGCTACAGAGGGAGTTTTTTGAGTCTCATCACTTTTTTGTTTTATATTTTCCAGCTATATTTCATACTAGTACTTTCAGCTTTCTGCACAGTTGTACTTTTCTACAAATATTTACATGCAAAAAGTCACAAAATGCTACTCTTAAACTGTATTTCTCTTTTTCTCATCAGTAGAAATTGATTGATTTCAGACTAGATATGTCTCAGAGGATTCCCATACGGAGTGTGTGTAGTGTTGAGCGGGAAGTGTTACTAGGCAAGAACCATGCTTTCTCCACACCACTGCCTTGCGCCAGTCACAGGAGCGCTTATGATGTTCTACTGCCAGCTTCTCTAAACAACTTTAGCGGCGTTCTCCCCATGTTATCGTCCATAAAACAGTATGGCATGCTTCAAATTAGCATATTTACATATCACGTATTTAGAGAGATCCATCTATCATTTCAGTCAAGAGATTATGTGCTTTTTTGCCTCCAAGTGGTTAATGATTGCAAAAGATCCTTTTTCATGTTTAGTACTTTATTCACTTTATTTTTCTTTTTAGTGCATTGGAAAATAAATCTTAAACATTTCTTCTGTTATCTAGCATTTTAAGCCTTTCCATAGCATTTGTAACATCTCTTTGCCAACACTCCATCTGTGATTTTAGCTTGCAGGAAACACTTTGCAATTCTGTTATTAGCTTAGATGCAAAGCTGCTGTTTAAATATTAATAGTAGCTTCCCTCCTAAGTGCAGTCAAACCCTCTGAGTAACTTGTGAATTTCAATAAATATCTAGGAGAGGGTGAGGAGTGTGTGTGGGTAGGGCTTGCTCTTAGTCTTAGCAAAGGTCTCGCTTGAGTTAACAGTGCAAAATAGATCATGTCCTGGTGCTTGCTGTTTCCTTTCCTCCTCTTACCTCAGTTCCACTCCTTGTACACACACAAGAAACAGAAAGAAAAAAGAATAACGTTAAACTGCAGGCGTACTTCTTGCACAGTTAGTGGGCTTCCTGCTAAACCTGCTCTAAGTGAGAGGACCACTGCACAGTGCTCGTGAGAAAAGATGCAAGATCTGTCATTTATTTCAAATCAGTTATTGGACAAATACACTTCTAAAGTACTTGGGTATTGCTCTGTCAAGAATCACACCTCAGTAAGATGCGTTGTCTTGTGGTTGATCCCTTCTTCTCTGCTTTCAGTCATGAGCCTTGCCTTATTTCATTTCTTGATTCTGCAAAATGTACTTTACACTTAAAAATAATAATAAAAAAGGAAATATTATATGGTTACAGACTTTTCAGTAAAATGTATTTGATAGAAGTGAGAAATAAAGCAGTTAATACCAATCTGACCAGCCTGTTTTCTGTGGATCACCCAAGCATTGTAATTGTAATACTTATATTGGATATAATTGAAAGAAGATCAGCCCCATTAAAATTGTACGTTGTATTTTTCCCTATCCTCTTCTTCCAGATGGTTATTAATCTTTTATTTGTGAGGTGGTTTGCCTACGGTGTAATCTGAGATTTTTCCTCCTGTCATTTAAGAGCATTACTTCTGTGTTTGCAGGTGGACTGAATTTTAATATGTTGAATTCTGTTAATTGCTTAGAATTTAAATGTTCTTCTTAATATCTTGAAAATGTATAATAAATTTTTAAAAAATTAAGTAATACCCACCCGTTCCTTTTATTTTTCAGCATTCTGTGAAGAGGGGTGCAGATTTGGTGGCACTTGTGTAGCCCCTAACAAGTGCGTCTGCCCTTCTGGATTCACAGGAAGTCATTGTGAGAAAGGTAAAGCTTTTCTGAAACACACTTTCTTCTTAGATAATGAGAAATATGATATGCTGAATTAAGAAGTAATTACTTTCCATTCCTTCATTCTGCTTGATGTTTTCTCTTTATTGAGGATATGACTGTTCCATAGCTGCCTTTTCCTAACTGAAAGCTAGTCTTAAATTAAACATGGGAAGTTCTAGGCAATCAAGGGTGGATCTGCTTTTGCTTCCAGTGGACGCTGTTAGTTAATTAGAGGGGATAGCAAATGAAGAGCATTGACTCCACCTGTCTTCTGTTGTGCAAACTGAAGGTCATCTTCTGCTTTTTCTGAATCTGTTGTGCAAATTAGACCGGAATTTGAATGCTTGCTTTTCACTTAAAGTTACTGAATTCTTAAGATTTTATTTGTTTCTAAGTCACTGAAACTACTGTTTTTCATAGAATCACGACCTATTAAAATATATCTCACTAGTGATGATTTGATTTCCCCTTTTCCCAGATTTTTTCCATTTCAAGATCTGCTTCTGACAGCCTCATAGGCCAATCTTTCTGTACTTTCCACAAAGATCTGGTTTCTTGTCTGCCTTAAATGAGAAGGAAGGGCTCTTACAGAATTCTGTGGAGAACTCTTATTAGATCCTTTATACAGCAGATTTGGGATTTTATTTTGGTCTATATTTATGGAGGTTTTATTTCACTTGAATAATCCAATGATGGAGGCTTTTTGCGTTGCATATTTGTTAACAAAACTTTTGCACTTGCCTTTACTAGTGGAAATAAAGGGAATTGTTAACATAGGATGCATGGTACTAGTATAGATGAGATTATAATTGATGAGTTTTTTTCTAAGGAAGAAAAAAAAAAAACCAAGAAATAACTGTTAAGTTAAATCACTGGAACCACTTGTTACCCAGAGATTATTCAATAATTTGTGTGTTGCAGTGTCTGTTAAATACTTGGCTGTTCTACTATAATACAAAGTAATTTAAACCCGGTTGACAACAAATCTGCTTTGAGTAGCTTCTGAAAACTGCTAAAGCTTTTTATGGATGTGCTCAAACCGCTGCATACTGAAATCCCATATTTTCTAGTTGTCAGCATTGTTTCTAATTATTTGGGAATGAACTAGTATGTTATTATTTTCATATCATCTGGAATTAATTTGAGTACTGCATTATTTGGGTTATTTTGCCTGTAATCTTTGGGTTATTTGTTTTAAATAGAAATAAACTCTCAAGCCTCCTGACATTCAGCAGTAAGTACCGGCAATACACATGGGGGAGTAATACAAGAAGTACCTGCTCCAGAGCCCCTATTACCATAGCTCCCTAGCCTCTAATCCTGCTAGTCATCCTCTTCCATGTATAGTTTTCTCGTTCCTTTCTAGAACATCTGTTACTCAGAGGGAACAGTACATTCAGAGAGATGCAGGATACCAAAAATAGGTTCTATTCAAAATATGGCACTGCAAAACCCGAACCTGCATTGCCCAGAGGTGCCCTGCCTACTCAGGGAGTCAGTGGCTTTGGGCCAGCTTTCAGCTCCACTGCCTATGTTTCCTTCACTCATGAATCTTAGAACTATCTTTTTCTTACAGCTGTAGAGGGACTTTCATAACCAGAACACAGAGGCTTTAAACTGTTGAAGCGATGGTTTAAAATTGATGAATGGATGACATAACCATTGTTGACTCCTATGTTTTTCATGTCTTTTGTATTCTTTTGGTCTAAAATACGAGTTAGCACACCAAGTAAAGGAAACATGGCAGGCGCAGTACTCTCATTTAATCAAGAAATTTAGAGGTAGATGTCAGAAGGAGCTAGCTTCTGTGTATAAAATCTATATGACTTGTAGCAGAAGGAAGTTTATTTTTTGTTTCTTTGAAGTTGTGTAGGATTTACCAGGATGCTACAAGTCAGGATAATGATGGTAATTTTCAGAAATCTGATGTGCAAACTGATTTGAGAATGAATAAGGCTTTTCATATAAGAAGTTGTCACATTTTAGTTGTGTTAAAGGGTTTGAAAACTTCAGCAGATATACCTTATGTCATATGCGTATTTCAGTGGCTAAGTGCATATCAGGTCTATGTGAGAACAGCTTCAGCCATCTGAAGGTGCATGTCCTGGAAAAACTAAATGTTCAGACTGGAAAGGTGATGAACTACCTTTGAAGCAGGCTTCCCTTTGCTTACCTGCTTTCTCCTCAAAGATGCAGTGCTGTTACGAAGAGGCAGCAGTTCAGCAAAGACTTCCCTCACAGTCTCACTGCATTTTGATGCAATGTTTTTAGAGGACATCTGAAATATTCAAAACCCATATTTTTTTTTGTTTGTTTGTTTTGGTTTTTTTCCCTGTTGTCTGTAGCGTTAGAAATAAGCACTTAGTTATGTTTAACAGATGGTAGCATTCCCTCAATCATTATGACTTAGACCAAAGACGGTGAAATGGTGGGACATCACTTTAAATCAAAGCTTAAATGTTCCTGGTAAGATCTTGTCTGATGGAAGCTCATGGTGAACTGATGCATATCAGAAGTAAATGATGTGTTTTGGTAATGTGTTCTATTCGCCACGGTGCATTTAAAAACGTCCTTCAAACTGACAACACGACAATTCCTTATATATTATTTGTGAGCTGAAAGGACTCATCACTGGCTAAAAACAGTATGGCCCAAATTGGCTTCAACATAATGAAAAGGGTAAAATGAACCAGTAATTAGAAATGTTGTTGAAAACCAGGTGCGTTTACTTCTGAATATGAATCATGTGTTGCTCATCGTGTCTGACTGCCTGGTTGAAATGATGATATTTGGTTAATTAAAAATTCAGAGATATTTGAGAAGGGTAGGATTTATGTTGGTAATTTACTCAGGTGAAATTAAAATACGCATTTAAGGCTTATGTACAAATACATAATTCAACATGCTGCTAAGAAGAATCACCTCTTGCCAGTTGCTTTGCCTGACATGAGGAATCATCGTAACAGTTGTGGGGCATCCTTTTCTTTTTGAAGGTGAACTGCAAATTGATATCCAGAGATACTGTCAAGTAATTCCTCCTTCCATCCATTCTTCCTAATGCTATTTCTCTAAGGATGTGCTTGATGCTTCTTACAAAATTTTTGTCATTTTCTATTTAGAATCTGATTCTGTCTTCTAATCAGTTATTTGGTTTGTTGTTTTGTGTTTAACTGGCCAGGGCTGAAATCAATGATCTCTGTGATCATTACCATTTGTGATCATATTTAATACAGTTGTGATACCTGTGCTAGAGAATTTTTATGTTAGAAATTTTGCTGACATTGCTGTATGGTTCCAGCCTGTACGTGCCTGGTGGCTGAGCTGGAGATATGCATCCTTCACTGTGTGCAATACTGTTGGCTTAAGCCCAGGTGCATCCTTGGCAGGGATTCCTGTTAAAGGCTTCTGAGAGACATTGTGGTGTTGCAGAGAGGAATGCAAACACAATACTCCGTGAGAGTTGTGGCAGCCTGGACTCAAATGCTCTCATTTTCCTCCCAGTGATGTTTTCTCCATCTCATATTTTTGCAACATTGAAGAAAAAAAAAAAAAAAATCTCATCATTCCTTGAGCTGCTTTTCTCTCTCTCTGTGGGTGAGCCACAGGTCAGTGGAGTGTTAATGTTGGTTTTGTAGACAGGGTTTGCCGTTATTCTGTATTTGTGGAATGTTAGTCATTACTGCCACTGGTGAAGTCAAGATAGGATAATCTATGATATCAAAGGCAGGAGTAAACAAATCATTGAGTGCCTAGAAATTGCTGTATGTTACAGACATTCCTTGAACACCTACCTGCATGTGTTAGAGTCCTATGTGTGAGCCTAAGAAGTACACACCAACCTCTCTACAGAACTGGGATGGTGACCAGCAGCAGCAGAAATTTCAGCTAGGGGCGTTAGTTGCGGTATTTGTCTGTACCAATTCTAACTTTAGGAAATGAACAGGAAACAGCAGAAGGATTTGAAGCAGTGAGTTCCCAGCTAGGGATAAGTCAAGGAAAGTGTAGTGTTTTTCCAAAAGCTGCAGGAGGGCTTTTGGCAGTAGTGGGGCATTGCCTCCAAAAGGGATTCAAAACAAATGCACTATATCTTTGTTCCCCTGACTTACCAGAGCTGCTGTCACTTGAGCTGGTGCACAATGAATGGAGAATATGATTCCTGTAGATCAGAAGGGCATTGTGTAGGCTGGTGCTTAGAAAGGTAAATATTTTTGTGGTAGCTACATGTTTATAGTCTTTGTAAAGCACTGGAGAACAGTTTTCTCAGAAAATGATGGAATGCTGTCAAAGAATTACCTGCCAATAGTAAACAGTCAGAGCAAGGGTAAGATATGATGGTGAAGAATCATGATGTGATAATTACTGGGGATATTTTTTTTGTGTGGTTTTTGGGCTGCGTGTACAAAAGATTGTCTGATATTGGAGTGAGTGGTCATTTTCCAGTATGTACCATGGCTGAGAAATGTTCTTTGTATCCCAATAATTATATTGCGAGTGAAAAATAAAAGACAAATATCATCACTTGCAGTGTTGCATTAGTTACATATGTATTCTTCAGTGCAGCCATAGGGCATCATAGGTGTCACAGGTGTTCAGTGAAATATTGCTATGCTTATACTTGAAGTTGGGTATGTCATGTATATGTCATGGAAATGAGGAGGCCTTTAGCTGATTTGTTTCATAATAGTTGGCAGCATTTGGAGTTGTTGTCTAAGAAGTTGCAGGCTTCTTTGTGTACTTGTCTCTTAAATTGCTGCTTCTGGAACATATTGTGTTCTGCAGCCCTTTGGGTAAAACTCCCTGCAGTCTGTATTCCTTTGGACACTGGAGAAAGTAAAAATTGTGAGAATTGCATTTCCATGTGCTGTTTCTTTGATTGCTGAGCTGGATCAATCTTTAAGTGTGTAGCTATCAAAGACATTTCAGTTGAGGAATCTGGTTTTAAAAAATAAGCAAACAAAACCCAGAGCAAAGCAGAGAAAGAGATTTTTTTTTCA